TATTTAACCACCAAATGCTCTGTATTTGTTTTTTGATTGTTTTTTTCCTTCATTGGACTACTTCAATTTGCTGATGCTTTTCTAGCAGTGAGGTGCCTGTGGTGGGATTGTATACTTAGAACAGGAATATTACGCCATGTAGGGTACTTGCTGGCTGTGAGCTTCCTGAACTGACACTGAACAACCCACTTTAAAACCAAGCTGTAGCTGAGAATAGCTGTTTCCCTGCCTCATCTGTACAGTTTACATATTACCTTGCACCACTGAGCGCTGGTTAGAAGATTTCAAAATTGCAGGATAAGCCTTAGGAATTCTAGCATAAGCAGAATGTGATTTTAAAAATGCCCTCATGTTGAAAATATTAAACTCGCTATTACTAAATACTACTTGACGTAGTACTCTACATGCTACACTAAGCATATTTCCACTCTCTCATTTCATGCAGAGAGGTCAGACAAGATGCATTTTAATGAAGCAGGTCCAATTAGTTGTTCAGAAACAGATCCTGACTCTTCCTATCATTGACATTATTCCCTCAGACCCAACCTCAAAGCTCAAAACAAGACGCAACGGCAGGGCCTATCCGGTAGCAGCACAGGTCATGTGTTTGCAAGTATAACCTGTTACAAATGCTTTGGATACTTAATGCTCTGAGCAGTGTAAACCTAAAACCTAGAGCTAGTAGGCTGAGATCGTCATATGATCTGTCAGCACTACCTGCCTTGTTGATTTGGGTTGCAAATTTTGTCTGGGGCAGAGCTGTCAATTGCTGCCTGCCTCAAGCTCCTAAGAGCTTTAATATTTACACTTTTGCAAGTAGAAATAAAGTACAGGTATACTTCTACCTGTGCTAATTTTGGTGGTGCATTTGGCAGGCAGGATGCTTGTGTCAGGAAAAGTGCTGTCAAGACGATGCAAAGAGCCTCTTTCTCATGTGCTTATCCATACACCTATTGCTGATCTAGAGCATCCTTTGCATTTAGAGATTAGGCTCTCCCTAAGGCTCGGTCTCTGTCTCTCAAGCAGAGACTTCCAGCTAATATTTGATGGTATAGGCAACAGAGGAGCCAAAACAAACTGACAGTCTCACTTCCGTTTACAACTTTTAACTTTTCTCATTTCAGTTCAGGCCCTGGAAGTCATCATCATTACTACTTGAGCCCACTCAGTCTCCAAGCAAAGGCTAACCCACATATATTTGAAGAGACGATCCTTGACAGATGAGCTTACAATAATAAGACATATCAAGTATGGGAGGCAGAAAGAGACACTACTCCCACTTTACACATGAGCAACTATGGCAGAAAGACGTTAAGTTCCTGGATAAGCAGCTGGGATATTAATGCAAGTGCTTTCCCCTCAATGCTACCTTTACAAAAAAAGGTACACGATGTTCCTAAAACCGTGCTCTCAGTGCTTCACAGCTAATTTGGAATGTCACCAGTCCATATAACCAGCTTAATCACAACAAGTTCTCATGGATTATCCGTGGGCTCCCACTCAGAATAGGAAAAAAAAGAGAAAAAAAAAAGAAAGAATGCCGCTAATTGCACTTTATTCTTTGAGTTCTCAAATAATGACTCTCAATGACGAAAAAAAAAAAACTACAGTGTTTTTCTCTTACAAGATTTCAATGTCAAGCTGTGTGCTAAACCACAGTGATATACTAAAATAAACAAAACTATTTCTTTCAGAGTCCAGAGAAATTAACATGACCAAAAATATTTTGGGGAGACTTTTCTGAGCCATGAATAAGATTTCCATGTGTCAGTAGGTCCATTAGGACAATGCTACGTTGCACTCATATTCCAGGGTCGCACTGTTGGAAGCATTTCGTTAGCCATAGCTGCAGCCAGAGGAGTCCCTTTCTGTCATAGCCTTTGTCTCTTGCATTTGCGTAAAGCCCTACCGGGGCCCACTTCAGATTCCTATCTGACAGTCAGTTGGTAATGTAAGAATGAACATACAGCAGACTAATTGGAAACACAGAGCAAATGGCACTCATATTCCAGGGTCGCACTGTTGGAAGCATTTCGTTAGCCATAGCTGCAGCCAGAGGAGTCCCTTTCTGTCATAGCCTTTGTCTCTTGCATTTGCGTAAAGCCCTACCGGGGCCCACTTCAGATTCCTATCTGACAGTCAGTTGGTAATGTAAGAATGAACATACAGCAGACTAATTGGAAACACAGAGCAAATGTTACAGGTTAGCTAGCTAGTGGGACTTTTGCCCCCCACCCCCCTTCGCCAGCCCCTTGAAGACAGGTGGCTCAAGTCCAGGAGCAGCTGTACTACTTCTCCTGTCCTAAACTGGCGCATACTGTTGCAAAACAAGTGGCAAACACTAATAGATTTGGTGGAAGTGATAACAGTTAGTATAAAAGTTAGTGCATTGCATCTAAACCTAGGATACTATTATTATTACAGAAATCCAGACTGTTCCATATGTCCCTTAACTTCACTCCTTCAACTGTGCAGTACTGCGTAACTGGACACATTGTGTAAGATTATTTTCACTTTTCGTGGAAGCTTCACCCAGACATAGCCACTACTGGAAGCAGGACAGCAAATTTGCCAGGCTAACTTGCTGCACCAGTACACTAAACCAGTTATTCCAACAGCAAGCAGTGCGTGTGTATATGTATATATTTTATTTTTAATGCACAGTACAAGGAAAGGATGACTCAAGCTGAGTTTCACAGGTGAAGTTCAGATGAGTTCAGATCTATTCAAGCCCTTCTCAGTGTTCCCATATGCTTGACTCAAGTCCAAACATTTAATTGTCAGCTCCAAACAAAAACTTCCAATGAAGAAGCAGAGGAGGGGATTGTGAACTCTGCTTTCCAGCACTAAAGACTTGAGCACTTTTTTTTTTTTTTTAATTATTTCCCTCTCCCCCATCACTCATTTGCTCCCTGGAGATCACCAATAGCAGCTGCAGGGGTTGGTAGAGAAGGGCAGACTAACTTAAGGCTGTGAAACAACTGGTATTATCAGGTAACCTGATGCCCTTGTCTAGGTTTTAATCAGATTGTGCAACTACCCCTTGTGAGCTGAAATGGATTCTGCAACTTGAAGCATTGCAATCTGTGGCTAACTGCACAGAAGTCCACATCAGTAGATTTCTCCCCATCTCCTACTCCTGCAAAATAAACACCATGCAGAAAGAAACACTGAGGAATCTCTAATTCATAAACAAGTAGCAATGTGAAGAAATGTTCTCCTTGATTTTGGCCAAGTCTCCCCTCTGCAGCACACAAGAAACAAATTATTAACAAGTTACATCTAAAATTAGACACATTTATCTGGTTATGTGGTCGTTTCCAAGCATTGCATTCATCCTGCACACAAAGCTGTGAGGGTCAGTCTGGGCTATTTTCCCAATCCTTGACCAAAAACTTGGACTCTCTCACATTTGGACACTCTTTTTCCTTGCTCAGCATACCATGCCACAGCCTCTCTCCTCTTCTCCTCTATCTGTCCCAGTCTCTTTCCTTATGAGCCACAAACAAACCATTCCTAGGCTCCCTTCCCTATAAGCCAAAGCCAAACCACTCCCAGACACCCTTCCCATCCTCTTTCTCTAAGCCTCAGATCCCGTTCTGCGCTTCAGCAATCAGTTTTCCTTCTTTTTTCCCAAAAAGCCCTCTTGGACCATTACTTTGCAGAACTCAAGATCCCTAAATGCTGCTACCTCCAGATTTCACGAGCCCCAGCAGCACACATATGCCACGCATGTATGAATTTTGAGTTGGAAAGCAATCACCGAGAGGCAAAGCAAATGACACACTACAGCAGCTATAAGAAAGAGTACCTATAGAGGAGGACCTTGCAATTGGACGCACAGACATTTTGAAAGGTAAAATAATGCTGAGACAAGCTAAGAAGTGCCCTCTGGCTTAAGCACCACAGCTGCTTTGTGGCCGCATTTTCCTACTTCTAGCCTATGGTCCCTGTTAATGTTCAAATTAGACAAACAGAGATTACCGTGAGAACTAAACCAAATAACAGTGTTCAATAGCTGGGGAACTCCTATGGCAGGGGACACATTACACAAGAATTTCCAAGAGCTTCAGAAATGGGAGAGGGGAAAAGAGGCACAAAAGGGAACGTTGTGAAGGGGAGGCATTGGGCAGGTTGTTGGAGGGCTGGAGGGAGCAATATGCTCCTGTAGGAAGCCCCACATTACTCATGTGTTTTAGTTCTCAGAAGCAACCAGAACTTTGGATCTTATTTGAAAAGTTAAAATTTCATTCACTACCTCTTGCTGGCCTCTGTAGTGCATTAAGCTCTTTTACAATTCCTTGAAAATTTTAACAGCTCTTTAGGATCCCTCAAAACACTCTAACAACCTTTGGGCACAGGAGTACACTTAACCCCATACAAAGTAGCCTATATAATTCAAGCAAAACTTACAAATACTGAGACCATAAGAATGCTAATTGGAAATGGGATACGTTATCTACTAGGTATTACAAGTTAAAGTTTCCCCCTTCAACGTGAATACTTTATGAAAAATACAGAAACACGATAAAGCTGGTAACAATGACAAATAAATCCAGGGGCCCATCATGTTGCAGAGAAAAGAGCAAAACTTTTTTTTTTTTTAAGTAAATGCCCCTTCAGAATCCACATTTCCCTGTAATGTATTTGAGCCAGTTTGCAATCCTCACTTCAAAGATGATATAATTTTCCCAAGCCTCTCCCTCAAGAGGTGTGTGGTTCATGTTATAGTTTACTTAAAAGCAGAGACTTGGAATCAAACCCTGGCAAACACATTTACACACTTATGGAAATTTAATGCTGTTTTTATGTTGGTTCAGGGTTTTTATTTTTGTTAAGTGTTTCAGTATTCATTAAAAAGAATGTCACAACTTATAGTGCCACCTAGTTTCTAACCAAAAGGTTACTACCAGGTAGTAGAGCTCAATCTGCTTTCACACTGTCCTTTAACGTTTCAAGGAACCAAAAGGGGAGGGAGACTTCAGGGTGTTCACACTCACCCTTTTGTTGTTCTCTTCTTCTTGTGCCTTTCTAAACTCGTGCTCTAGGGAGCAATCGATGTCGTTGAAGAGGCCCACTTCCTCACAGTTCTTCAGAAAGCGTGTTGGTGTAGGAGTCTGATCTGAGAATATGACAAGAAATGATCATTGGTATTTAATATTAAAAGGAGAGGGAGAGAATGAAACAGTCTGCCCGGAAAAGAGAGGTTCTAACTAACCTCTCCATGCCTTCCCACTCCCACCACACCATCATTAAAAACAACCCACACAGCACTGAATTTCGACACTACGGACTTCAGGCAGGCAGTGCTTGCCAATGGTGTCCGAAAACAGGCAGCAGTCATCATTCAACCAGAAAGACAACAAGCCAGGTTTTGACAAGAGCACTTAACACAAGTGCATATCCTTAACCTGTGCAAATCGTCATTCTAACTGTCTATAAATCCCCCATAATAGGTGCATGCAAAACAACGCACAGTGCATATCATAATGCACATTTACACTGTAGCATGCAGGTAACTGCCGCAGATACACACTAGTTAATGCCTTCAAGTGCTTGAGAACCACCTCAAACATACACATACTTTGCAAAACATGTGAAGTTACCCATAGCGAGAAGTTGTTCTGCTTCTAACACAATTTTTGAGGCAGCGAAACGACATTTAGAAAAGCTATGAAATGTTTTGACCACAAAGAAGCATCCTTATGTGTTTTATACCTAAAAGTGTTGATAATACATATAAAGCAAGAGGTTTGGAGTCAAAAGATTTTTAATGCATGCCTTCATCTCTAGGAATTTTTTTGCCCACTCATAAATAATTTGGGGAAGGACACGATTCTCTTTAATGCCACAAGCAGGAGGGACTCAGGAAGATACAAGGTTTTCAGCTGCCTTTTCAAAAAAAAAAAAAAAAAAAAAGCAAGACAGACAAGCTAAATTGCCCTGTGGACTGTAGTTTCAGTGATGACCTTGGTTAGCCTTTCTTCAGGAAGTGAAAAATCAAGCCCAAATTTGGGAACGAAGGACTCCTCAAAGGTCAGCTCCGAGGCGCCTCCATTCATTCTGAGGCAAGTTCTTAAGGACTCCAATTCAGCTTCCCCATTTCCCCCTTAAAATTACAATACAGAACCATATTAGTACAATACAATACAAATACCATACAGAACAATACAAAAGCAGGGGAGAATCCATATGGTTCTATCAGTTTCACACATATTAAAAGAAAAAAAAAAATCCTCTCTTGCGTGTTAGCTTCTTCATCCCAAGCCCCAGTCCAGCTCAAGCTGCTTTGTAGTACCTAATTTTATGGAAAGATTGGACTCACTCTTCAAAAATAATCTTCTGCATAGTCAGTGACAACTACCCTATTGTTTGAAATTCATTCTTTAAAAAATGAAAACTCTGTCATACTAATCACAGTTGTCCATACTGGGCCAATTCTGACCTCAGAAAAAAGCTTCCCACTTCAGTGAGTTCTGGACGAAAAATTTGGTTTCTTGCACCTAGCTAAGCTGGGTCAAGTTCTAATATTTCCCCCTTACAGGGAACAGTCACCAGACACAAAATAACTTCACATGATCAGGACAGAAACACACAGCGGCCCATAAACAAAAGGCAGCACAAAAGGAATGCATAGAAAAGGAACTACAGTTTCCACTTGGAAACTAAGGGGGAGGATCAGACTCCTCCATTATAAAGCCAGCTGAAGCCAATTTCCACCTGTCCTACAGGTTTGACCTTCTCAACTAATCCAAGGGCAAACACACTCATTTGCATTTATATTTCTAATGGAACATATTGATGAAACATAGAAAGCAAGTCCTTAATGTTAAAAGTCTGTTTTATTTCTTTTGGCTTGAGCATCATATTTGTGACCTTAAAGGAAACAAAACTCAAGTGTTTGGGAATGCACACATATTTATCTATTAGTTTTCACAGCTAACTACCGTATTACCGGAGTCAGAAACATAAGACTTTCCAAGAATCTTGCAGGAACTCAGCACAAGGAGTCAACGAGGTGCTGACATTGATGGGAGCTGAGGAGACGCAGCACTTTACAGGTTCATATCCTAAATAAGTGGTGCCAAACTAATCTCTGGGGTAACCTCACTGAACTCAGTAGATTTACACCAGGGTTGTCTTTGGCCCTTGGACTGGAATTTGTACTGGAAATGAAGTACACTAAAAAGCAGGAGAAATAGATTTTATTTCCAAAAAGGCTTAAATATTACTTCAGTGAACAACATGATTGCTTTGTAGAATAACAAAGATAATCATTGCCGAGCCTTCCTGGACATAAAGGGTATGTTAGTATTTGACTGTGAAGCAAATACAGGAAATGTTTTCTTTTCAGAAGTGGTATATCCCCAGCAAGTAAGCAAGGTATCATTTTCAAGACCAAGATGAAAAACTAGGGTTTCATAAAGAAGTTGATGACAGCACTTTCACTAAAATAAAAAATTCTAAGTTTGGTTTTTTTTTTTTTTTTCCAGAGTTGCTTTAGCCCAGAATTTGAGAAGCAGGGCGGAAGAGAATACACTAACGTAGATAAAGTCTTGTTATTTTTCATGAAGGTACGCAGCTGATCCAGAAATGAAGCATTACTACAACAGGCTACATTAGGTCAGAGGCAACTTAATGGGTGAGAAGGTGGTGATCAGGCACGTGCAGCTGAAGTTCCCGATCTGTTCAGAATCTGTTCCATGAATGTTAGGCACACACCAAAAAAAAAAAAGTTATCTCAATGAAGTAAATCCATTTTAACAGTGCAAACAAGCAACCCAGAGCAAGAATGTGACTTCAAAAGCACAAATGCCTCATCAGCTTTTCTCCGCACGTGCTGAAAGTGTATCTTCTCCACCACATACAGTCTGAGATAAGCATGTGTTGTGTTGCCTACAGTTGACCATTCCAAGTAACTACGTTATTGTCTCAAGCACCAAAGCTGATTGATTAATGACACTATTTACACATATTAACACAGTGATCTTAAATAACTACCTCAGTCTTCCCATACAGTTACTGTACTTTCCATGATCCAGAAATCAGACCAGCAAGAAAGAGGCGTGAGAGACAGGACCAAACCCTGCTAGCTCCATCCATGGACCTTCTGGAAGCCAGCTCAGCAAGGTGTAAGCCAAGAGCTGCCTTTCTACCTTACAATACTTTGTCCTTCAACATTCACAGAAACCAGAAGTCCACGAAACCACTGTGTTTGTATGACAGCAGAACTGATAAATATCCAAACTTTAAAATGTTTGAGACTTTACATAATACAGTAGTTACATTGCACATACGCTGCACTCACTGGTTTCAGGACTTCGGGGCTACCAAGTCCAGTGGGCTTGCTTTGCTCCTTTGCAACCAACTATTTCACCCCTGCAAAATCCCAGTTGTCCCCCAGGAGGTGGGCAAACTAGTAGAAGATATTACTCTCAATACCACAGTAATTCTTTTACCTAGATTAGCAAGCCCTTGTGTTTTAATTGGGAATGATATCACAAAGGAGACCCTAGCATAAGTTGCACATTCAGGTTTCCCAGAATTAATAAAATATTCCTAATTCTCAGCACTTAAAAATGCATTAATAGTTCCAACAGCTTCTGCCTGACCTCACTGTTCCCTGTTGGTACAAACAAACCTTTTGTTGCTATCACCAGCGCCCACAACTATTGCAGGCTCACTGAGAACGGGGCTCTGATTTGTTGTACTTCAGCAACTGGATGTGCCAGACCCATCTGGACCAAAACTCAGACAGAGCTAGCACTGCTGTCAGCATTCCTGCTGAGGACACACGTTACTGCAGGAAGCTCTCAGCACGCATGCTGTCAGCCACACAACCGAGGACTTTAATGGCCCAAGATGCATTTTGAACTGGGCAGCTTGGGATACAGGTCTGTCAGGGTCAAGCCTGGATATCCGGCTGTTATACTCCAGTCACGTTGTTCAACATACAAAAATCCTTCCATTCCCAACTGCTACCAGAACTCGTTTACTATACTTTGAGGCATCTTCCTCTAGCCAACTGCCACTTCACAGGTGAACCTGGGTCATCTGACAATTACTTAGGAAGTTATTTCCATTTCACCTTTACCACCAGGTTGAACACGGAACCTGTCAAGCTTCAGACTGGGCAATATTTTGTTCAGCCTATTACTCAGGTGAACAATCAGCCTCTCTGATGACACAGTCATGGCCAGAAAGGCTGCAAGAAACATTAAGTTTAAATAAACCTCAAAAATGTAAGTGGACAACATAAGAGCCCCAGAGCAAGAGCAAATGGTCTCACCCATGCAGATCCCAAGTCAACCTACTGTATCTTACAGGAGAAGATTTCAGAAGCAATCAGCAATCAGATTCTAACCAGAACCTGAAACACGGAATAAATTTTTGCTGCTGACCATTTTGAAAACGTGTCCTCAGTGTCTGAAGCGATGCCTGATTCTCCAGACTAACTGAAAAATATATGCTATAAGGCAATGGGAAATTTGAAGTCTTCAGTAAAAAGATCCCATTATATATTCATTATGTTTGGCTATGAAAATTTTGTTGCTGTTCTTGGTTGGTTTAGGGTTTTTTTCTGTAATTACTGAAATAATAGTCTCAGAAAGGATACTCCATCTCAATATACTGCTTTCAAAATAACAGCCTAGGAAATGCAACATTAGCTTGCTATATAGTTTATTTGAATGCATTTTGTAAAACTACCTTGGATCCTAGAGTTTCATCCCTCAAAGCACAAATGAAAACCTTAAAGCATGATACCAGTTAAGAAAAAACTGGAGAACCAAAGGACAGTTATGTGAAATAAGCTTTCATTTGGGAAAAAAATAAAAAAATAAAAATCAGATTCAGTCACAGATATCTAACAGCACAGCTCCAAAGTGTGTAACTTGATTCTTCATCTCTCTTTTTTAAAAAAAAAAAAAATGTTTAGTCTGATGTGCAGTAATAACAGGCATTTGGCTTGTTCAGCTGTGGGCTCTGTTGAAGTTATATACTTACCCATGTTATACTTTCACACAATGATAACAAAGTCAGAGGAATAAGGCTAGCACTGAAATTTGAAGGGCTGCCCATCAAGCAGCTACAAGGAAAGAGGAATGTCCTGAGAAATTCAAGAAGGTTACTACGTAGATTTGGCAGGTTACTTTCCAAGTGCACCAAGAAGCTCAAGGTCACAACACTTCAAGCAGGTGATGAGAAAGAAGAGGAGGAAGAGGTGCACCCAGTCATACCTGGTGGAACTGCCCTCACCCAGGGGCTCACAGATGAGGGCTCCCAAGAACTTTACTGCTTAAAGATTCACTGTTTAAAGCACTGGTTGGACTTTCTGTGGAGGTACATGTGCTGGGTACAACACATCTGTAATCTCATCTGGTCACTCAGAACCTGACCAGTTGAATTTTAGAAGACTTTTCATTTCATTATTTGAAAAAAAGACGACAACCAAGGATGCCATGAGTTACCTCACTGACCCACTGACCCAAGCATTACCTGGGAGAAGCAATACATTTGCTCTACCTTGAGCACACACCCGTTTCATCTAGAGGAGACTGTTCCTACCTCCACAGCGGGCTTTACCACCAAAAATCTAGAGGACTGGATTTCAGTAAATAGAATCAGGAAGAAACAAGGTTTCTATATAGATATAGATAATCCTGGCCTCTCCTGTATCTGCTAGCAGTGCTTTTGGAAGGACTTTTCCCCCTCTAATGATGGAATGGTGTCACTCCTTCCCTTCCCAAATTTGATACCGTAAGAATGTCAGTGTACCCAACTCCCAAAGTTCAGTTCCACACAGCTTTTAGTACCTACCTGGAAGGAACAATCTGTCCCACGGACGTTAATATTTTGGTGTTAAAACAACAAAAGCTTTCACACACAAGAAACTAGAGAGTTTCAAAGCAATGCAATGTTTAGTTAGCACAACAGCAGAGATGACATCTATTTCAGTCAACCTAACTACGAAGTTTCCTGCAACGATGGCTAGCATGCAAAACTTACACAAGGTATTCTGTGTTATCTCAAACAGCTCTTTTTTGGCTAAGAAAGATGGAAATGGAAACCATCAATGACTCTTTATCCATACTCACAACAAGGCTTTCTAACAAACAAAAATAAAATACATACACAAAAAGGAACAAATAACATTAGTGTCTTTTTTCTGTCTTTTTAAATCAATGTCAAATTATCTAACAAAAGAATGAGTTGTATTTTCATGCAATGCCTTTAGAAAATTTCCCTTCCATTTATACAGTCAGAAAACATAAAGCTATTTAATGTATGCATGTACCTGGAATTTCTGAATTAGTTCAGGAGTCACTGGATTTTAAAAGACTTGTCCCTCTTCAGTCAGCATCATAAAATTTAAGCAAATGTAGTGGCGCTAGTTGATAATCAGGAAGCTCTTGGCTAGACATACCTGATAAATCAGCATAGCACCAATAATTTCAATCAGGTCACAGAACTTGGTTTCTTTAAACACTGTCCCCACCTACATAACAACATATAACTTTACCTCTCACTTACAAATCGGTATTTGAGAACTCTGCACAGATTTCACACAAGAAACAAGTTCTGACTTCCCAAGTCGTATTTTGCTTAGTTTCTAAGATGTTGTATTAGTACAAGACCAACAGCCCCTCCCTTTTAGTGCCTACCTCCAATAACAGTTTGTAGAACACATACTTAGTGTGTGTTAAATATTACTGATATTATACTTACCCCAGACTGAGCATTAGCTATCTCTAAAAACAAAGATAGTTCTAATGGCTACCTGAAAGCACACAGCCCATTATTTTGCATGACTAATTACTAATAATGAATAGACTCAAATACAACACATTAAAAGGTAGTACACAACACACTGAAAAAAAAAAGAGCAAGTCTGACTTCTAGGCACCTTAACAAAAAGAGGGAAAAAAAAAACAACCCAAACAAACCAGAAATGCACACTAACACCGCACCTGGCTTATTATAGGGCAATTGCTGCTGCAATTCTTTGAACCTACTGATGACAGAAATAATTTTTTTTTTAAAAAAAAAAAAGTCAAATAAGCAAAAATGCAAAAAACAAGAAGGAAGACATGAAGACAAATGTCTAAGAGAAAAGTCTGTCTCTTTTCCCCATATATCATTAATTTTTCATTATGAAATCTAAGAATAAAACATCTTAAACTTTAAGGTATTTAGATTTCCCCAGGGTTTAGGTGGGTAATGAAACAACTATTTTTCAATGTCTCCCTGCAGAGAGTAGATGATCTATGATGCTTCCAAACTAAGGATTTCAAAATGCCAAACAAATCCACCAAATGAACACAAAAAGAAAAATCATACACAGCAGAACCAGGTTGCCAGACCATTACAGTCATGCACATTTGCCACAGTCTTTGAGAACACGTGCAGCTTTTTACTCTTTCATTACTACAGAGGTTCATCACCCACAAAGCACAAAGAATACATCCCTCAGAAGCAATCTTGGAGCCTTTCTGGCTGCAAAATTCTGCATTTCTAGGTACTTAGTTGGCTAACTGGAGGTCTAGGGCCCCACTACTGGTGGAAGCCAGTCCAAGCATTTTGCCTGGGATAGCAACCCACTGGAAGTAGCATGGCAGCTATCTCACAGAAGTTACCAAACATAAACGGAGCTACTCTAACTCAGGGGACTCCTGATGACAGAATACACTCCTTAGAAACTGCCCTTGAGCAAAAGTCTTGCCAAACAGAAAGTTCTAACAAAAGCCAGCACTTTCACAGGGTGAATGTGCCCACAGTACAGATGTCTTTGAGTAGTTTCACTGCCAGAGGACACGGCCAAGTGCAAGAGCAGCATTTTCTCACTCGTGCTTGCAAACACAGGATTCTGCGGGCATAGCTGGCATGCAGGCACTTTACAAGCCCTGTTCTTCAACATGCTGCGTATTGTTCCTTTCTAAACTTAGTTCACTATGGTATTTTCAAGTGTAAGATGAAAATAAATTCTATTTGGGGTAAGATCTGTCTCATTTCTCACCTGGTGCCTAAAGTCCCAACAAAACAAAACAAACAAACAAAAAAAACCCAAAATCAAATATTTGCAAGCAATTGCTACCCAATTATGATTTTCATAAAAATGGAAATGGTTTATCCATAAAAGAGGTAGTCTGCTGGAGACCCTTTAATCCTGATACATTTGGACCTAGAATGGCACAATTTACCTTGAAGAAGCCCATTTCAAAAGATAAATACCAAACACTGGTTAACATCCACACACACATTTGCATCATAGTTTTTTTTCTACAATTACTTTGAAACCAGAAAAATCCTAGTGGTATTATTCTTAATAATCCATTACTATAGCCCAAGGAATATGCAATAGGAAAGGGAATAGGAGAGAAGCAGTAAGATTAAGGCTAGCTGGACCTTGCCCAGCACTTGCTGAATGCCAGCAAGCCACCGATGTGTGGTTACTCTGACAAGAGTATGAAAAAACTGCATAAGAAACTAAAGGATGTAATTGCACATAATACCAAATAGACTCTGTGTATGACAAGGGAAGCACAGAGAGAGATGGTTACCTGTAGGGGGAAGGAGTACTGGACATTACCCACTGGTTTACCTTTCCGGTTACGGTTATTTACAGTGGGCAGGTCTTGAGCCACCATAAAGGTGGTTCATATGATGTGGCCTGTCACAGTTGCTGAAGTGAGCCTGTCAAACTTCAATAGTGAGTCTTATAGGAACCGTACAAATGCACTTCATTAACACGCACACTGCTGGACTCCCAGGTGACATGCGCTTAAGTGCCTATATTTCACTGGCATGTTGACACGGGAGTCAGCGATAGAGCTGCCAGCATGGCTGAGGTTCAACAATTTCTCTCCCTCTCATGCCAGACCTGTGGGAAGGCATAAGAATGGCAACTGTCTTTTCGTTCGAAGATATGCATTCTAGCTTATTCCATCTCTACTTGTTATTTAATTGGAGCTGGGGCTTTTTAAAACCGATCTTGGAGGTATTTTGCCAGTAGCTTTCCAGTAGGAGTCATGCTTTCAACATCATCTGAATAGTTATCTTGACTCTCGAATTAGTGTCTTCTTACCTGATAACATATTATCTGTTTTTATTGAAGGAAACTTCAAAGTCATTTCATGTTTGTGCCTGTGAATCATCAGATGATCCTCTGTTGGAAAACGCTGTCAGGCAAACACAGAGAGAGAGAGAGAGAGAGAGAGGAAGAGAGGGGAAAAAAAAAAAAAAAGAAGAATTTAATTCTCTAATAAACTTTTGGCATTGGACAGAATTTCAAAAATGAGAGACAGAAAGAAATATATCCAGCTAGAAATGTGTCCAAATGGCACAGGAAACAGAATATTTGAAAATGCAAGTAAGTATGAGTAATAAATAGCTGTAATCTACTTAGAAACGTATTTGCTGCAGTGCTCTCTGGGGTTGCAAACCGCAAGGTGTCATGCATTTGCTTGCAAAAGTTGCAGACCAAGTTTTGGATTCTAAGGGTCTCAAACACCCGCTCCAGCTACCACAGCCTCACAAGTCACCACGTGCCTGAGGATCTGCGGTAACTGCTGTTGTGTATGCTCTTAGCCCACAGCAAACGCAAAGTAATGCGGCGTATCTTAAATCACTTTACTGGATTTTTCTGCTTTTGTGTCTTTCTGCAACCTATATCTGCTGAACAGCAATAAAAATAATCAAATAAGCCACTTTCCCTACCTAAAAATATTCAGGCAAAATGCATCTTTAATTTTGGAAACCTCTGATACTTTGACTTGATTCAAAGTGGCAATGCAATAGTGCTCAGTATATAACAACTATTTATGACCCTTTATGTTAAATCAAATTATTTTCCTTTGTCAAGCAGAGAAGGTGGAGATGTACTTTGTGAGAAATTAATCAGTGTGCTAAGTTTGTTTTACAGTCTGTTAACAGACTTCTACAACAAATAGCTTCTTTTGAACAAGACAAAGAAGAGACAAGTTTGAATAAACGTTCAAGCACTTGCATACTTGGACTCTAAGAGCAGACTGGTTCTGTTAAGTTTCCTTTCACCAGAAGGTGCGCACACAGACCTTTGCTACAAACTACTGTAATAGTTTTAACTGGGTCATTTCAGGACTAGCAAAGGCCAAAAGTTGTATCACCAGGGCCTGAGGGAAAAAACATGAATTTTAAAAGCAGCTTTTTAAAGCAACAGGTACATAAGAGACTGTAAAAAACTGGCAACAAGAGAGTTAAAGTGACTTAATGCTTTCAGCACAGTATATTCTTGGCTAAGTGACTTTGCTTGTGGCTATAGTATAAATAGTTGCAGTATGTTACACCTTCCGAGAATCTCTCTAAGCCCCTAGACAAAGCAGCATAAATAATGGGAATGAATTCTCTGGAAAAGAAAAAAAAAAATCCCAAAGACCTTTTCCTCACTGTGAAATCCTGGCTCATTGCTTACTCATCTGGAAGAAATGCAGGACTAGAAATTTATGTTAAGAACAAAGGGAATATGTGAAAGACCTTGCTCGGTGAAATTGTGAGGGGAAAAACAAACCACGTTTTGTTCTTGTGGAAATGGATTTTCCTTCATGGATGCCACACTCTGTCTTCAGGGTGAAATCAGCCAGCTTAAAGACGGCATGGGGCAACTGAGGAGAAGCTATTCTTCCAACCCAGACTTCTCTGTCCTTTTTGTAAATCCACTTTCTTCCTCGTGCAGAAGGTCAACTCCCTCAGCCCTCAATAACACATCTGCCCTGGCTGACAGAGAAGCCAGTCCCCAGACAGCTAAGCTGGACAGCAGCGCTACACTATGCACTTCTGTCAAGTCCTCATTTACAATAAATGGAGGCCATGTTTTGAAATGGGAAATTAAATGTTTTTTAAGATAAAGTCACACCTACATTGCTTGTCTTTCCAAACTCTAACAGCATACAACCAAATCTGCTCTCTGAATACCTAAATGAGCTTGTTTGGATCAGCTTCTCCTCCACTGAGGAAACTCATTAATAGCTGACATGAAAACACTCAAGTCCACCAATTTGAGTGGAAGTTAGTTTTAAGAGCCAATGAAAAGGTAAATAAAACTTGACTATAAAACTCGGATACTTTTCTTCTACCTCTGTGACAGAATGGTGAAAGTTTAACTGCATATGGATATCTGAAATGATGAATCCTCGATCAGAGAGACAACCAAAAGATGCACCCTGACACCTGTAGGAAGGCTCCCACCAAGCGAAACAGCAAAGCTGCTCAGCCAGATGTTGCTCAGACCTCAGGCTTCTCCCTTTCCTTATTTTAGTTCTTGGCAAAATCAAGACCTACACTCCAGTAACAGCCACCCATCATTCCACCAGAAGAACCTAAAGGGTTGTTAGCCAGCTGAAAACTCTCAACATACAGTTAAAGCAGGGAAATATTACCCTCATTAAGAGAGGAGGACTCTGGTAACGGGCAAGCTAAATCACTTAAAACAAATGCATACAGCAAGCTTGTGGCAAAAGCCCAAAAGATGCCCTTGCCTGAAGATTTTACTCACAAACTCTTGTCACTAAACTGAATTAGGGTCAGAAGCACCACACATGGAACTTCTCTTATCGCTGCATGGGAGGGGAACTTCCCTCACCACTGCATAATCATCAAAAAAACACATAAATCCCAATTCAAAATCTCAGCAGGTAAAATCCTTGTCACTTCAGGTTTTTAAGATCATTAAACATCTAATGTTACAGGTTAGATTATAGGCTCAGAGACACATGGCAGATCACCAGTCAAGAGGAATCCCAAATGTGCATCCTGGGGCAGAATTTATCTACAGGCTGCATTTTCTATAGGCAATATTTAGTAGGAAGATGTCTCTTTTTTTTTTTTTAAAAAAAAAAAAAAGCGCTAATAAGATATCATCGTATTTAAGTATAAAAAAAAAAATCAGGAGGGTTACCACATCCAACAGGAAACATAATATATTCCATCATACATCTAAGTAGAAGACAGACAAATGTGTCCTGCCCAGTGTGTCCTCTCCTGCTAGCCACTAAAGGAATTTGCAATACCTGGCTTGGAATATTAGGCTCGGGGATGAGGGAAAGTACAGAAGCAGCTTTAGAAGCACTTTTACCAACTCACTTTTGACTGGCTGTTGTATTTGCTTTAAATATTTTGTAATAATATCTTGTGGAGTAAGGAGGGAATTGGGGGGGCGGGGGGCGGAGGACTTAAAAAAAAAAAAAACAACCACCACACATATTATTATTAGACATGTGTTAATATATCAGGAGGCATTATACAAGCCAGAGCTAGTGCTGAGGACTCAATTAATATCACCGCTGACTCCACTCACCTGTGAGCAGCCTGGGGCACTGCAGACAAAAGGCCTCTCCTGCTCCAAGTTCATCTTTGATTCCTCATAAATCTACATGTTAAAAGGGGGAGGGGGAAAGAAAGGGAACCTATGAATATATACGTTCTAAACTTCACACATACATGCAACATACCATTGTCACGGTTTGTGCTTTTATTTCAAATGCCCAAAACAGACCAGAACAAAGTTTTCATCCTCAGAGTACTAAATTTGCTAATATTCAGCAGGCTCCCTACAGTCTAAGTTCTTATTACTCCTTCCTGAGCACATATTTACTTTGAAGGAGGAAAAAAAAAACCATTAAGCTTTCACAGCAGAAATCTGCCTCAGAAAAAAGCATATGTTCGGTGTTGTTATTAGATAAGACCGTGTCTGCTCAGAAATATCTCGAATTAAGGGTTTTTACCTTTCCTTCTCCAGTTCCTGCCATTAAAACCAGACGTCTAGGTTACTTCTGAGAAAGAACCCACTTTTTGAAGTTCTTCATCCATACTGTTCGATATTAATAACTTAAATACATTACATACATGCTGTCTATACACACAAGTTCATTGTGCATCCCCATCCTTTAAAAGGTCAACTAAATCCTCAGGAGCTTGAGAAGTGAAGTTTTGCCTAAAACTGCAGCTTCCCCGTAGCAGTTCCAGTCCTGTAACCTTGAACTAAAGCCTGGGGGAGAGCTCCAGGGTCTCAAATAAAACTGAAGGAGGAAACATTTGCCCTCAGAACGCAGTAACGCAGCTGAATTTGGGTCGACATTACAGTAGCATCCCTGACCGGCACCAACAAAAAATATTTTTTAGGAACGTTCTAGGATATAAAATAAATAAGTCACTTCATTTGGGAATGTTTTGAGCCTGTTGCTTAAACTCAAGCAAGAGTATAGTAACTACTACGCTACAAGCAAGAATATAGTAACTGAGCCACCTTAAAGCACAACATACAACTTCTGCTTACATTATGCCTCAAAACCCTTAAAATTCAGCCTCACTGCAGCCCCGTTTAGACAAATACCTGAGTTGTGTTTGTGTAATATTTTCATAAAACAAAGAGAATCTTGGTGGAGAAGCAGAATTTGATTTTAAAACTACAAAAATCCGCAAAAGGACACAAGTGCTAAAATTACTCAACCCTGTTGTCATTTTTTAAAACCACAATTCATTGCTTCCTATTATCAGGAATATCTTTACCACACTTACACTTGTTTTTAGAAAAGCTTTATTTTCAGAACAGTAGCACCATCCCCTGCAAACAATAAATACACCGTTAACCTGAACATCAGCCAGACCTGTACTTACAGCAATTATTTTCAGCGCCCTAAGTTCTCAAAAAAAACTCCAAAACTTTTGGATGATAACTTTTTCTTTTTAATTAAAATTCATTCTGGTGGAGAACATTAGCCTGACAGAATATTTTCCTACTTGTGACCGAAAAAAAAGAAAAAAAAAAAAGCCAGCAGAGCACCCTTCGCCTGACTCCCAGAAAAAGCAACCAGAAATGAAGAATTTCTATTTTTATTTGCCCTTTAACCTCCACAAGGACACTACCCCCTAAAGGTGATAATTAGCATCATCTGATTTTCTTGATGTGGACATCTCTACCAATATCTGGCCTGAGACAAGTGATTTATTGCACCAAATACAATCAGGTATCAAGAAAGACCCTAACTCAGGACTGACCTATCTATCTACACAAGGCTAGAACTGAAATAACTAAAAGTGTACCTAATTTACTCCTTTAAGATTATTCATATCCTGTTTTGATTTAACTTACAGCTATGTTAAACTGAAATAGGATACTCATAATAAGAAATGAAAGAGTAAGTTCAGATAAAGACTTATACTAAAATAACTAAAGGTGTTAAATTACTTCTAATTTCGGTTATTTCAGTTCCAGACTGTGCATAGACAAGCTCTTCAGAGGCAAAGCAATAAAACCGCTCTGAATTACACGATCCTGTCTGAAAGAAACAAGCAGCAGAGAGATAACTGACTAACCAACTAAACAAACAAACCCCCAGGAAAACAAAACCAAAACTTCCAGCTAAATTTGATTTTTAAATCCACCTCTATTTATGGGATGTGACCCCGGGAAGTTGCCTTTCCTAAAGATCTTTTCACAGAAAGAAAAAAAAAAAAAAAAAAAGATAAGCTACATGTGGATAATGAAAGGCTTTATCTGATATCTCAATTACTCCTGCAACTGAAGCACTGCCAAAAGTTTCTGTTACCCTTTTCTCCCCTCCTCGGGGGAGAGTGACAACTGCATTTTCAATAGGAGAACAACGGATGAGACTCAGTTAAAGAAAACAAGAGAGTAACAATTCTGGTCCCAAGTGTCCAAGTGAATTTCAAAACATTACCAGGAATTATTTGGAGTTTGTTTTCTTATTGAGTATTGCAAGTCTAAAACTGCCCTCCCTGCCCTGAGCTTGAGCTTTAGTCCCTAAGTACATCAGTACATGCTCTGATACAATTAAATGATTCCCAAGGTTACTAGATAGATAAGCACAGAGAAAGCAGCAAAATAACATACTCGACGAGGACCAGAATCCTGAACATGGGGATTGACTGCAGGAAAACATGGACTTGGTTTTTATTCTCAGTACTTTGAAAAGGTGTCAGATTCAAAGTCTAGTCATTTACCACAAATATACAAGCAACTGCTCGTTCCCACGAGAATCACTCTTTGCAGACATTAAACTTAAAAAAAAAGGAAAAAAAAGAAAAAAAAAGTAATAATCCAGAATGACTATATCATGTGTGCCCTCCAGGATATTGTCTAGCATAACTTGACCCATATAACATGTTACCAGATAGTGCTATGTCCTCAAGACAATTTGCACCATGCAGAAGTCGTATTTACATGTGATGCTATCACTGCAATTGAGACTGTCGTACTATTGACTGTCTTACAATAGTAAATGAGTGAAAGAAGCTGCCTATTACCTACAATTTTTGAGAGGGTGTTCGGTGGTAGGCTATCATACGGCAGTAATTCAAGCTTTATGCTTGAATGTTGACCAGAAATAAGCAGCTGAAAATGTGGGCTGTGAGTGTGACCCTCCTGCATTCCCCATTCCCGCTGAACTCCGCAGGAGCTGCGGATGCACAAGCGACGCAGGATCTCACCCCAGGTTTGCAGCAGGTCGGGAGCTCTCAGCAACAGAGGTGTTTCGGTTGTGCACAGCATGGTTTGCATGGCATCCTTTTCAAGATGCAGGCGTGCACCTCCCATCCTTCAGTTCAGGATACAGGCAGCCGTACACAGCCTCTGGCACACAGTTCGCTTTGCACAGCTCACGTCTGCTGCTGGGCTACACAACCCACGTCTCCTTTTTCCACAGCGTGTGCAGGTGGTTCAGCATACACGAAGGAAATAACGCAACCAATAGCAACATTCAGACTTCATCTAATAAAAATAAATCACAGCAACCTTTCCATCGAAATTAAGGTGCTTATTAGCCTTTGGGAACTTAAAAATTCAAGTTACACTCGTGCACCTTTCATAGCACTACATATGACTGCCACAATTAATGCGCATGAAGCATATCAGGCAAATCGACGATGACTGAAAAGTTAAAAAATTGCTCAGGCCTGAATTTTTTACTTCTGTTATCAGTAGCTTGATTTATTGCAGCTTTGTGCCCTCTTCGAAGAAACAAACACGGATTATAAATATAAGTGAGCACTAATATTGATATGTCAGCATTAGTTCTGATATTATTAATAATAGGCGTGAGTGCATTATGCAGCAGAAAAGGGGGCTGAATTTTAATAGACATGTTAACAACATCTGTCAGCATTTATTGCCCTATTGTGACCATGTAAAGAGCCTTATTGGCAGAATATGTAAGTGAGGAAATCTGCTACACTGTTGTAGCCTGCCATTCTGCTGAAATATCACTCTGCTTAAGAGAGGTTAAGGTGTCCTAATTAGAAAAATAAACAAACAAAAATACACAAGAAACAGAGACTTCTCCAAGCCGTGTCACACGGAAGAGAAAGACCTAAGTTCTGCAGCAAGCCAAGATTTTCTTCTATTCCTTGATTTCTGCTTAAGATATTTCTAAACACTTTTTATTATAATTAATAAAACTGAAGCCCACAGTGAGGAATGCAAGAACATAACAAAGAAATAAAAAGCAAACAAAAGAAACAAAACCGCCCTCATAACACAGCAACAAACTACATCCCTTCTCAGCAGCATCCAGAGGGAAGTACCCCATGTCCTCAGGCTCCTCAAGGAGATTTTGCAGAGCCCCACGATCATCCTTTCTGAATCAGAAAAATAGTTCTAACAGCTAACACCAAGAAAGCATGCTCCTTTCTCTCTCTCTCCCCCTTTTTAAACTCAGCAGTAATCTTACTGCCTTACTGGTAAAAACATCAAGCAGGCTTGTTTCCTGTTTCAATGTTATTCTTGAAGTGGGCTGCAGTAAGAATCTGATTTTCATTGGGCTATTATTATTTGCAGCTGCGCGACCTTTTTAACCCTCTTTTAAAAGTGACATTTCAGCCTTCAACCTCAAGCTGTCTAAATGTTGCAAGGGTTTCAGTCCTCTGATTAACAGTGAAAAAGAACTGATGGGGAGGTGTATACTACAATGTGCCTAATACAGGTCAGCACACTCATCCTGCCACTTGCACAAGTGAGTAATTACGCTCTTATAAGCAACCTGTTTGTTGAAATTAATCACCTGGGCACATGCTTGCAAGACAGGTTTCTTCAGCCTGGTGTGACCAAGGCCACTGAGATTTCCAAATACAAGTACAAAATACACAGTCGCTGGCATTAGCAGTGGTATGCAGAGATATGAGCAATAAATGAAGCATCAGCTATTTTTTAGGGTCATGGCCACAATGTATAAAAAGTGAGAGGAGACATGGTTATGGTGCACTTGTGAATATTAAAGAACCCCATCGGTGTATGCAGCGTTTTAAACTGCTAGTTGTGGCTATTCAGTACAGACCTATTTACAGATGACAGTGTTACTACAAACGCTATTAAGACTTGTTGGTTTTGGAAGTGCAGTACGTGCAGGGT